TTTTTCCTTCCAAGAAGATTGAGGGGAAATATGAAGATGATGTAAAGGAAAGACTGTCATGGAAACCAAACAGCATTTAGAATCAGCTCTGCTGCTTTTAGAAACAAGGCCATGTGCTGACAGAATCCAGAGCAATCTGGTCCCTCCAAACTGGTTTTGTTGAGAGACTGACAGTGGAATACGTTAGTGCCTGTCTAATAGTTAATCTTGCTTTGTGATAACCTTGGATTAAATTCCTGCCTTCAGAAATCTCACCTGGATTCAGTCACCTTCCAAGGTGTATCTGTGGTCCCTCCTCAGAGGTCTTTCTGTAGTCCTGTGGAAAACCAACTATGGGATTACTTGTGGGATTCCAGGGTTTCTTGTGCATCCCAGAGTAAGTCAGAAGCAGCAGGAGGAGGGCTGTGGGATCTGCACTGGTTCAATATTCTCCCCTGTTGAGGATACCAAGGTGGAAACTTCATCACATTGTGTTCACTGGACTGTTGTATTGAGTTTTACACATATTTCAGATTGTGTTACGTCTCTGCACGTGAGGGAAACAGGTTGACATGTTTTCTGATAAATGCAAGGAGACTCTTTAGGAGAAAATCCTTTCATATTATGCTGTGGAATCGTTAGATATAAATGATTTATGACTAAGGTTTTGTGTGCTAGAGAGCACAAAGCTGAAGTTTTCTAAATCATGTCTATAAATAAAAAGACTAGAAATCTCAAATGCTTAAAGCTAAACAGCCTGATTTGCGAGAGCTCTCAGATTCCTCTCTCAGATTCCCAGGGAGATTAGGAGCAACACTTGAACATGTCCAGGGAAGGGAGCAGACCTGGGGAAGGGGCTGGACCCCAGGAGCAGCTGAGGGAGCTGGGAAGGGCTCAACCTGGAGCAAAGGAGGCTCAGGGGGGCCCTTGTGGCTCTGCAGAACTCCTGCCAGGAGGGGACAGCTGGGGGGCTTGGGCTGTGCTCCCAGGGAACAGGGACAGGAGAAGAGGGAACGGCCTCAAGTTGCTCTAGGGGAGGTTTAGATTGGATATCAGGGAGAATTTCTTTCTGGAAAGGGCTGTCCAGCCCTGAGACAGCTGCCCAGGGCTGGGCTGGGTCACTGTCCTTGGAGGTGTTCAGAAAATGTGTTGGTGTGGAGCCTTAGGACACGGTTTGGTGCTGAGCACAGGGGTAGCAGTGAGGGATGCTCTTGATCTTGAAGGCCTTTCCCACCCTTACCAATCCTGTGATGCCGTGATCCACGGGAGGGTTGGACAGGCAGACAGGCGTTCTTCCTCCTCCCTAGAGGAAGGGTTTCGTGAGATCTCCCTGCCTGGCAATCCCTGCAGGTATCTGTGACAAAATACTGACTTACTGCAATATTGTCTCAACTACTACTGATACAAGTCAAGCTTTTGGAAGGAGAATTTCTTGGTTTAGGGCAAGCCGGTGAAGTGGTGTCGCTCCTAAGCCTTCCCTGCAAAGGTAAGCGACTGAGATTCCTGATAAATCAATTCTCTGAGTTCTGCCTTGAGCTCTAATTTGTTTACCAAGTTTTGGACCAGAGCAGATTGATGCAGCAGTGACATTCAGCTGTGAAAATAGGACTAAACAATTTGCATAAACAGATTTGCTCTGCAATTACCAGGTTTCCACAGCACAGCGACGCATAGAAAATAGGGAAGTGAGAAGCCACTGATGATGCCAGGTAGCTAATTTTCAGATGTAAATAATCCAACTGTTTCAAAATTATTTTTAAAATTAAATTACTGTGACACAAAGCACAAAAGATGACAAATTTCATTTGGAGGGTTTTGCATGTGTTTTGAGGGGAGAGTGACCTGCATGCTACATGCCAAGTTTTGCATCCAAACAGGTGCAAAACAGTGTATAAAATCCATTTTATGTAGCTGTGTATCTTTGGTTTGAATGGAAAGGAGCTGTGGTTATTTAGGAGTAATGCAGTTTCTAAAATTACAATAAGTTTCTTTTTTGGTATCTGTCTCTTCACCAAGGTTTTTTCTCATATTGGTACCTCTTAATAAAGATCTGAGCTTGCAAAAGTTCTATGCCCTTACCTTTCTGTGCTTTTGCCTCAACTGTGAGCCTTGGAGAGATCGTTGTTCTGCAGCAGTCCATGGAGCTCAGCTCTAATTGGAAAAGCCCCTGGAGTTAATTACTGCCTTGCATCTCATTGTGGTCCAGTTAACTGGATGCAGAAAATGGGAGATGCAGAAATCCAGCTCAATTTGGACTTAACTCCACTGGGAAGGAGAGGATAATGCAACTTTTCCAAGAGAGGTGATGGCATTTTGGGCTCCTGGAGGTGTGAGTTTTGCCTACGCTGCTTTGAGTCAGATCCAGGGAGGTCTCTGCCCACTGCTGAAAACTGGCTTGAAGCCCACATTTTCTGTCAGATTGTTTATCCATTTTTATATCCCACCAGCTCCTACTGGTGATGGAGAAGAAAAATTACTTCTCTTCCTACAGAAATTCTGTTCCTTAGGAAATTAAGCAAGCGCATCCAGCTTGCCCTAAAAGCAGCTTATTGGAATGGCACATTTATTCTTGTAATTAGTTATTTTCTTATGTAAAGGACCTGTAAGGTTTATTAAATTGGTGATCCTCTTAATGCTAAAATCGACAATGAGACTCTCAAGTGTCCTATTACATCCTGAAGTGATTGTGTGCTCAGTAAGTCAGTCAGCCCAGGGTAGGTTTATTTGAGTGTATAAATATTGTTCCTGTTTTCCTCTGGTGAGTGGCTGTGCCTGTTGTGCAGAGCTGTGGGACACTGGGGTCAGAGCACTGGCTGTGGTCAGGGCTGTGGACAGTGCAGCTGGGGGAGAGAGACCTGGGTTCAGACTTATTCAGTGGTGCTCAAAGGGTGGAGCTCAGTCAGAGTGGATCTTCCAAGGGCAGTGCTGGAAGCACCAGGAGCTGGATGGGTGCAGCTGCAGGTAGGTTACTGCAGTTCTTGGGGTTCATCTCCTCAGAGCCAGGCTCAGCCTGGAGCCCTGTGTCCAGGGGAGTGGGTGTTCCTGCAGCGTGTTCGGCTTTGTCCAAAGGAGGCACCAGGATGATCAGAGGGATGGAGCAGCTCTGCAGTGAGGAGAGACTGAGAGAATTGGGATTGTTCAGCCTGGAGAAGAGAAACTTCAGGGTGACCTCATTGTGGCCTTGCAGAGCCTGAAGAGGCTGAGAAGGAAGATGGAGAGAGACTGTGGGCGAGGACCTGGAGCGACAGGACAGGGGGAATGGATTCACACTGACAGAGAGTAGTTAGATGGGCTGTTAGGAAGAAATTCTTCCCTGTGAGGGTGGTGAGGCCCTGGTACAGGGTGCCCATAGAATCTGTGCTTCTCCTTGGATCCCTGGAAGTGTCCAAGGCCAGGTTGGATGGGGCTTGGAGCAGGCTGGGATAGTGGAAAGTGTCCCTGCCCAGGGGAGGGGTGGGACTGGATGATCTGTAAGGTTCCTTCCACCCTGAACCATTCCAGGACTCTCCTCCTGTTGTCTAAAGCAGGGGAATGAACCTCAAGTACCGGAGTGTCCCTGGTGACTGTAGCAGGAGCCTCACATGGATAATGTGGTTGTAGCCTCGCCCTTATGCCTGTCTGGTCTTCAGTGGGATGAATCTCTCTCTCTCTCTCTCTGGCACTGGTCTGGTTGGTGAAAACAAGCAGGAGAATGGCACTGACTGACTCACCACAGCTCTCAGTGATGTGGTGGAGCTCAGGTACAGGTAACCTGTGCCAGGGTCAAATGGGAGCTTCAGGGAGGGGTGACAAAATTGTCCTGTAGTTCATCCCACACATGGGCTGCTAGCTTGGGTTTTGCTGGTCCAACTATTAAGTTTTGGGGGTGGAGACCATATTCCCATATTTCTCCATATTTCACACTGCAGAATGCAACTGTGTTCTGTTATCAGTCGCAGCTTTGGGACAGATCCAACTCTGTTCAGAGATCTTCTGCTGGACCAACTTGGAACCATTGGGGCTGATGTAACATCAGGGCAATCATCTTTGCTCCTGTCATTAGGAAAAGGATTTCATGGAATACTTTTTGGTTCCAGGCCTGTAAAACAAATAACACTGAAGTGCCTTTCTTCCTCTTGGTTCAGCATTCCCTCTTTGGGACATTGTTCATGTTTTTAGTGCATTGTATAAAGCAGAAAAAACTCACTCAGGTGGTGTCACCCACATCACTGATGGGCAATCTCTGGCCAGCATCAGTTGTTTCTCCTCCTTCTCTGTGAAGTTGTGCTGGTCTTGCTGTTTGATCACTGCTCTCTCCATAAAAGCCTCACTGAACCTGTCATTCCTCTGGATCACAGTGGGAGAAATTCATGGAGTCAAGTGTTTGTGTCTCTTATGATGGAGAATTCAACCCCAGCGGAGCTCATGGCTTAGGCAAAGGCAGCTGGAGGAAGGAGGGGATGGGAAAATATGACAGAACAGAGAGGAGGGAGTTTGGAGTTCTGGCCTCACTGAAGTAAATGAATTTTAGTAATTAAGGAATTTTAATATCCTCAAGCACTTAAACCAATAGCTTCAAACATCTATTTTAGAAGTTCACATCCCACATATAAGCAGCTCTGTCATTAACTTGTTTTCCACTGTGTGAGCAATCCAGCTTTTTGCAGTGCCTCTGCCTGAGTTTAAACACACAGATGTCTGGAAAATCAGGTACTCACTGAGGAGTCCAAGTACGGAGTTTTGGAATTTCTATTTCACTCCCACCTCTGAAAATCTCTGCTTTAGAAAGCAGAAGTAGCAACGAATTAAGTACTGGATTTCACAGTTACCCAAGAGTTAGCAAGGCTTGGGGCAGGAGGAGATTGTCACCTCCCTGGTCCCCATCCCAAGGGTCAGTTTTCCCTGGTCAAAAGGCAGAATTCATCTTAAGCACGTGTGAGGTTTGTGGCCCTGTGCAGAACAGAGGGGCTGCTGTCAGCAGGCAGAGCCCAGAGCCTGCAGCCAAGTTTAACCTCCCTCTTTGTCCTGTCTCTTCCCTGCAGGCGCGAGGTGCCGACATTCCGGACATCCCGGGGGAGCTGCCGCTCCGCTCCTGCGGCAGCACAGCCAGCATGAAGGTGAAGAATGTGAAAAAGTAAGAGCAGACTTCTATGATTTTCTCGTCTTTCCCGGGCTTCCAGTTTTGCTGTGCTGAGTTCTGGCTGCTGGGCTGCAGTGCAGGACATTCAGCAACATTTCTGATGGTGTATCTTCAGCAGAGCAACTGAAATCCATGTGGAGCTAAGGCAATTTGAGCTAATGGAGCCTAAAACTGGGAATAAGAGGTTTTGCTGGCTCACTCTCCTCTTTCTGGCTATAGAAACAAAGCTAGGTAGGGTTTGAACTTCACTGTTGCAGTGCTTTTAATTTTCTTTACCAATTCTTCCTGAAAGTGATTAATTAAAAAAACCCCACAATAGAACATATTATAATAGAACAATTATTTAAAAATCTCAAAAGAAGCACAGGCAATGTGTGAGATAATTTTCCCTGTCTCCTTATGCTCTGGAAAGCTAAACCAGGACGAGTGGGTGGCCTATATGTATTTTTTATCTGATATTTTTTTCTCTTTTCTTTTTGCATTCTGCCCTCTGTAACTTCATTTGAATGGATTTTACACAGTTTTCCCTTCTAAGGGATATTTTTTCTTCCCTGATCTCCCAGTTTGGTTTTTTTTTTCCTGTGGGCTCATGCTGTATTTCTGTCTCTGCCTCTCTCCCAGAGACTGTAAACCGAGTCATTATGTGTGCAGCAACAGGGATCAGAAATAATCAATATTACTTTTGCTAAAATTGCTGACTTGAGGAGCAGAACTCCCCGAGACTGATGCATCTGAGCCTTCAGCTTACCCCTCTAGTGCTCTGCTGAGAGGGAAATGGTTCTTTGTTCCAGTGCTGAGCAGCCAGATGCTGCATCTCACTTCCCACTTGTATTCCCGTGGGAAGAGGGAGCTAGATAATGACAATCTCATTGGCTCACCACCAGGAATATCTATAGGAGTCTATAATAGCTTCAGCAGAAGCAGAAGCATGTTGCAGAGCCAGAGGAGCTCCCCGGCAGCCACCAGTGTTGCTGGAAACACTTGGGAATAATTATGCCTGATTTTTGAATTTTGCAAAAGGCAAAGGATAAATAGAGTTTGTTCTGCACCCTCAGATACATCCCCCCGGGACTGATGGGCTGTGATGCCTTTCACAGGTAAAGTTCTGCTTTCCTTGTGTCTCGTGTAAGGCTGTGGATGTGCATTTGTGAGCTGCAGCTGCTTGTCCCTGCTCCTGTCCATCCTGAGGGGTGTGGTGCTGCTGGAATGTCACACCCAGCTCTGTAGGGCTGCACTGGGATGCGGTGCTGGAATGTCACACAGTTCTCTAGGGATGCAGTGGGATGTGGTGCTGCTGGAATGTCACACAGCTCTGTAGGGATGCAGTGGAAAAGCCACTTGGCATTTCAGCATTCCTTTCTCACTTGGTTCCCTTCCCCACTGTTTTGGTGCATCATATCAACAAATCCCTGTGTTCCCTTTGCTTTAGGATGAGAAAGTTGTTGATTTTTATCAGTAGCTGTTGCTTATCTGTGTTGAGTGGTCTGCATCCATCTCATGGTGTGCTCTTGGTGTGCTCCAGGTTATCCTTTACAAAGGGGCACTTCCCGAAGATGGCTGAGTGTGCACATTTCCACTATGAAAACGTGGACTTTGGCAACATACAGGTGAGTCTTGGATTTCTCTTACACATAAAACACCTTGTGCTTCCTGCTAGCTGACCCGGTGGGGAGGCATAGAGGGAACTCCCATTGAGGCTCATTTAGTTTGTTGCTAAATGTTTAGTGGTAAGAATTTAAAGCTGTAGAGACTATTTGGAATTGCTTCTATGTGCTGGGGCAGAATCTGCACTCAGTCATGTGGAGTTCTCCTTTGAGCTTGGAGATGGTTTTATATTTCCACTGGATTTGGCTGATGTCACTGTTTTAAAACTGTATCAAACATTCAGTCTTGAGTCATCTGTAATCACTGCATGTTTATTTTTGGTTTGAGTGTGTGTGTGATTAAAAAATTGTGTGAATGTATTTATGTAAATATAAATAAATCAAATTTACCCCTTCCCTTAGCTCTGCATTGTGCATTGCAGCAGCTGTGTCATCAAAATACCATAAAGTGCTCGTCAGCCTGAGCTGCATTTCTGGAAGTGTGCAGACTTTGCTCCTCTGTGATCCCTCCCTCAGGAATACAGGCAGAAGCATTTTTCAGGCAGGGCTGAGACCCAGGAGTTTCTCACAAACAGGACACATTTTGTTCTGCACTTAGAGGAGCAGGAATGCCTCCAGCATCTGCCAGCCTTGTAGCCAAAAGGAGGTTACAACCTTTTCATTTGTAAAACATTTCCTGTAATACTGAGTGAATTATTTACAGCCTTCCATGCTGCTGTACTTGACACTTTTGCAAGCAGAATTATGCAGCTGGGTTTTTTTCCTCTGTCTCAGTAAAATTCTGGCTGGGAATGAGCTTGGGTCCTGTTCAGGGCTGGGATCTGCTGTTGCTCACACTTGGTGTCTCTGGGAGGGTTGGTTCTGGGGTGTGGGCTCTGCAGACCCAGGCACACAAAGTACTGGGCACAAAATAGAGGGCAAAGAGCTCAGTTCCCATGGGGGCCCCAGGAAACAGGCGAGCAGGAGCAGAACTCACTCTGCTGAAAACTGTTTATTTTCATTTTCTGTGTATAGGAACACCATGGCTTATCTGTGTCCCTGCTTTCTGTCTTCTGGTAATTTGCCAATTTTTCAGTAATTGTGGAGAGAAGTTTTATGTTGGAGCAGGTGTGTGTCTGCACAGGTGTGGTTTTTGCATCCTGTGGTCCTCTGAGTTCTCCCTCCCATCATCCAGGGGTGTTCAGTACAATGTGCAACTGGGGAGGGAGCACAAGCTGTGCATGGCACATTGTTTTGATGACCAATAATTAATTCTTTTGTGGGTTGAAGCATTTCCTGGGATGTTTTCAGGTTGGCTGGTCAGACCTGTGGGGCTCATCTTTATGTTTGTGAGAGGCAGAAGTAAGACCAGGTGATACATCCTTTCCAGGTTTTCCTGAAGCTCATTCTGCTGGGAAGCTCCCACAAGCAGGAGTGGTTTAGTACTGCTTTTTGTGATGTCACTGCTACACCTGCAGCTTCCCCTGCTCTTGCTCAGTGGTTTCCTGGCACAACCAGACCAGAGGCTGTAATCTCGGCCTGAAAAACAGAGATTGTGGAAGGATGTAGTGCAGGAAATAAAAATGGTATTGGTTATTGATCTGTTATTGGTTATCTCAGCCCTGAGCTGTTTTCTGTATCTGTGCTGTGAAACCAGGAAGAAAACAGGGGCTGGTGACAGCATGAGAAGAACTGTCATGAAATTGAAACTCTGTGTGTGTTGAGGGCTCAGTTCTGTTTCCACCACATCTGCCTCTGAAAAACCCTACCTGTTTAGCTATTTGTGTACCTAAAGCAAAATTTGTGTCTAAATAAGGTGACTCAGGCCCTCTGTGCCTGTAATTGCTTCCTTTGCCTAAGCAAGGTTTCTGATAAATCCCCACAGTGTCAGGACTTTTTTATATGGTGAAAAATCTCTTTGAGAACAAGAGCTTTGCTGCTGAAATGCGAAAAGATGAAGCATTGCAGCACTTCCTTAGAGTACCAGTATTAATGGTAAAATAAATGAAAGCTGTTAATACAACAGCAGTATTAGTTGGGAGATTTAAAAATAGGTTCACACGGGGCTCATGCATTTTAATCAAGTTGGAGGCTCCTTTGTGCTCCCAAGGTAGGGCAGAGAATAGCAGTGGGCTGGAGTGATGGGAAGTGACAGCTTGGCACCTAATAGAGAATTACTGAGTTGCATCTGAGGGCTGGTGGGTGTAAACTGCTTTCAAAATCTATTCACTGTTAGAAATTTGCATAGTAGAAAATACAGCATTATCTGTCCGTGTCAGGAATTGTGTAATGCTGTCTATTAACAGCCTGGCCAAATTTCAGGTTGTTTTGTAACGTTTATGTCACTTATAATATGGTCTCATGGTGCAGGAGGTATTAATAGCCTGACATTTCACCTGATGAGATAGTTTTAAATTAAATTGCTGAGAGGTATGAAAAAGGATTTGTTCTCTTCTAATCCTTGCACCGTGCTAGTGAGGCTGGATGCATTTTGGGGGGCTTTTTCTCTTCAGAAATGTCCTTCCACACTGCTTCCAACAGCAATATCTTACCCATACCTGTGGCTGGCCAGCCAGGCACGTGTGGCATCCCAGGAAATTGCTGGTTGCCAGGCAAAGGCAGTGATGTCAAAGCTGTACCAACAGGTTAAGCCTCACAGATTGCATCAGTGCCCAAAATTCACTGGCATTTTGCTGAAATACCTTATGTTCATTACTGTATTTATTTTAAGGGCTGCATCATCAATTTTTAATTTCTAATGAAAAGCCAGGTTCTGCCTCATAGATGTGTTTTATTCTGACATGGGATAAATATTCAGAACTGTGGTTCAGCTTTTTTATGGACCGTCTCCCAGGGAGATACAATGTTTCTTCTCAATTTATCTTTTGCCTAATTTAGCTCCTTCTCAATTTACATATTATACAAGGTATCTCCCCTTTAACTTTTTGAACCTGATTCTCACTCATTGGACACATTGATGGTAAGTCTACATAAAAATCTTTGTACAAATAAAAGGTCATTTCCAAGTGGTTAAATTGCATTGTGCAGAAGAGTCTGTAATTACACCTGTGAAATGATGAAAATGCCCACTGTTCAACATCAGCACTTTGCATCTAGAAAAACAAACAAGCTTTGTATTATATCTGTTTGGTTTCCAGCAGATTTATGTGTAAATAACTGAAAAGAACTCATCAAAACTCTATGGGACCTATTGAGGCAACTTCAAATTCCCCAAGTTTAAAAATGTGAGATAGAAAAATGGATATGGAGTCCCATATCTTTCTGCTTGCATTAAGAACTGGCTCTAGACTGAGACAGAGTTAAATTTCTTTTATAATTTAAGAAGACATTAATGTAATTCAATAAATATATTCTAAAGAAAGTCTGCCAAGTCTCCAGGAGCATTTGGACAATGCTCCCAGGCATGCACAGTGTGGGATTGTTGGGGTGTCTGTGCAGGGCCAGGGGTTGGACTAGATGGTCCCTGGGGTCTCTCCCAACCCAGGATATTCTGTGATTCTATCAAATATGGCTTTACTTTACTTAGTGCTAAATGCCATTAATACAAACAGGAGAAAGATTAGGAATTCCTTAAATATCTACTTCCTACCAGGAATTAATACTCTGTTCCTCACTTGAAAGAATTAAGACATTATCTTCAGCTGAGAAGGTTTTGGTAATGGAATATGGAGAGCTGATCAGCTCCACGCTTCCCTGATAATATTCTTTGCTCCCTCAAAAGCCATTTGCTCAAGGCAAGTGCTGTAACATTCATATCACTTCAGCATCTTGCATTTGACACAGAATTATCCCTTCCAACAGCACAGTCTCTGTTTGCTTTGCTGCATCTGACGTCTAAAAATAAATCCCTGTGGGAGCAGGACTGGGTTGCAGATCCTCTCCTTATCAGTGCAGCCTTGGCAGGGCCATGTCAGGAATTGTGTTATCAGTGGTAAAGGAAGTATTTGAGGCACAATCACTTCCGCCTGCGCAGCTTCAGCTGCCAGGAGTTCCTGTCAGGAGCTGTGTCCTGTGGGAATGCCTCTGCCCAGCTGATGGGCTGCCTCCAGCAGCAGCTGGGCTTTGCCCCTGGAAGTGGATGTTCCTGCTGTGCCTCAGGGGTAAGAAACAGTGCAAAGAGCAGCTCAGTCCTTCTGTGCCTGTTGTCAGCAAAGCCTGCTGAGAAGATCCTTTTTGGGGTCATCTGCTCTTGGTTTGCCTTTTTTTCTTTTATATAATGATATTCCAGGGAAGGGGCAGCATGGGGGGAATGTGCTTGTGAAGGAGTCACTGTAAGTTTTTTCCTAGGCTGGATTGCAGAGGAAGCAAAACTGGTAAAGCCTGGCCAGATGCCCTTGGCTGGGGTTAACTGGGATAGTTTCAAGTGCCACAGCTAAAAGGAGCCTTGTGGATGAGCTGGGAGCAGCAGGGATGGGGATGCTCCCTGCTCTGTGTCTGCCAGAGGTGGGACAGCCTAGCTTGGATCTCTCCATCAGGGATTTGACCCCAAGCCTGCTCAGTGCCTGCAGGGCAGGAGGGTTTGTTTGCCCCCGGTTCTTCTGTGGATACCATGCTGTCGGTGTGTGGCAGTCAGGAGCAGCATGAGTAGCTCCAGGCTGCAAAATCATTTATCCCACTCATTGTGTGAAGTGTTTAAGAAGGAAAAAGAATTGATTTTTAAAGGCAAAACATAAAACAGCAGTTCCCATCTCAGTCCCTGTAAAAGATGCAAGTTCTCAGTAAGAAGCATAAAAATTGGCCTGAATTTTGATGTATGTTGGGGCTTTGAAACACAATTTTTCTCTATTCTGCTTTGTCTTTATGAATATTTGAGTGAGATGTAGACCCAGATTGTGTGTGAAGAGAGGCCCCTTTTCAGTCCTTCATCTTTGGATGCTGTTAATCTCCTCCCAGAATTACCTGGCTGGATTCTGGTATGTTCCCCTTCTTTAAACTGAGGACTTCCCCTCCCATTCCCTGTCTTCTCCATGTGATTTTGTTTCTATTGCCTCCCAAAGTGGTGC